GGGGGGGGAGGCGACTCGCAAGATTTATAATATTCGATATCTGTATTGAAACACTCGAAACGATTTGTCCATTTCAAAATTACTCGCGACGAACGCGACAGCGAAAAGTACCATCGACAATCACATGAAAAGATGCACGAGAGAGCATGGGCGGTCGCGTATAGTGGCTGGAACTGTTCTCGTAACTCAACGAGGAATTGACTCGAGAACGGTTTTATTGACGCTTCCTCGTTCGGTTTGATTACTGCCACGGGTAGACGTTTGTGACGCTGTACCTTTTCTCTTTCGCACGTCAGTTCCTTTCCGGATCCGCATCAGGCAATCATCGGGACTCGCGAGAACAGTTGTCGGGGTTGTTCCTCTGCGAATACAGAACTTTTGGATCGCTTTCAAGTGTATCGGGTGAACGAACTATTTATAAGATGATCTACGAACAAGAGGGAGGCAGTTCATTCCTGTGTGTCGACACAGAGAGGAGAGGAGAGAAGAGGAGAGGAGAATTTTAGGAGCGTCTCGTTGATTCTTCCGTCGCAATGCGGTGGTCACGTACATTGTCCTTGACTGTTCTCTCTCTGTCTCTTCACTGTTTCTCTGTCTTTCTGGCAGAGCTTGTCTCACCGAGTCCCTTCCACCCACACCTGATTGATCATCCTTCCTCCCACAAGTATTCTCGTGAACGAGTATTATTTATAGCGTAAGGGACGTAAGTGCATGTGCAATCGCCATCGATGTGTGACCGATCCAAGAGCAGGCGTATAATGTGTCGCTTGGTTTGATGCATCATCACGTGTGGTGAGGTAGCTGCTGAAGTTCACAGGCATCGATATGAGACGGAGTTTCCCTCGTATAAAATGGCGAAGTTGCTGAATTGTTATTGAGAATATCTTTGGAAGAGAGGATGATGCGTGGAAGTTTTTAAATGTATTCAAATTTTTTGTACTTTAGATTTAGAGAAAGACTCGTGTCCACGTGCTTCTAGAGGTGATTTTTGAAATGAAACTTTTTTTTGTAAACTATATATTTATATCTGTGTCTTCTGTTTGAAAGTTTTGTAAAATTCGTAATTCTTCGATATCGTCCCTACGATGGTTTAAATTGTCGAAACATAGTGTGTTTCTGGATTTGAAAAGTCTATTAGGACCTTTAAATAAGGTAGATATTCAAATTCAGTTGTACTATTCTATCAAGTTATAAATATTTATAAAATAGTAAAATATTTATAAAATTTAGCAAATATTTATCAATAAAGCTGCGTGAACACCGGGTGATCTAATAATTGAAAGTTACAATATCGTGATGGATCTAAAAATTCAGCTCGAAGATTCCCAGTATAAAATAATTCTTTAATTCGGGCTATCGATTATAGGAATTTTATTGGTTTTCGATAAGAGTAGAAGATATCCTTCTAATTTTAGTATTCCGATTGTTAATTCGAGAGTAGGAGAATACACGCGAAGCTTCCGAAGTAGGACTGCAACTCCATTATCACGAAACTTCTTTTTTTGTTCTCTCTCTCTATCTCTGTCTGTCTCTTTTGGTACGTAGAATTTAACTCTAGTACCCTATTTTCAAATGATTCGATTGTACAGCCATATAACGTAGTTTATACTTCTCTGTAGTACTTTAGATTCGCCGTTAGTATTCATGTTACAAACTTTCTTGGGCACCGAATGAGGAATTCTAAAGCGATTCCTATCGACCAGCAACTATACCATTTACATTGACGCAGTTTCTCAGTAGTACGTACTATGTAAAACAATATCTTCAATTTTCTTCTTTCGCCGGAACCTTCACTGGAATCTTTCATGGGAAATTTAAAAGTGAAAAAACGAACGAATGGGGCGCTCACTTTGGAGCATGTTAGGATTTCTCAAGAACCAATGACTTCCTCAAGTAAATAAATAGTTTGTTACAGTTTTAGTATTTTAAAGTATAAATAAATTATAGTAAATACGTATAATATATGCGTGTAAATGTAATATTCATAAATATTTAAAATTAATCATTTTGAAAAATAAGATTTATGATTACGAGAAGAGCGTGGATAGTGAGTGGATAGCGACGAGAAAAGAAATTTTGTCTATTTAAACAATTCAAGGCAAATAGCTATCTTTTGTCATTTTCATCTTCAATTCCTCTATAATGAAAAGATATAACAATCAACGAGATAGTATTGTAAATTTTAGAATCGATACTTTTGTCACCGTATGACTTGACCAATCATTGAACTCGAAAATACCAATGTTCCTCCACTTTGACGACACAGAGCGAATTCACAATGGCCAATTACCAACCGCGATTGTTAACCGATCGCGACGTGTTCGAGGCGTGTTCGAGCGTAAAAATTCTCCCTTTCGAACGTCCCTTGGGTGATTTTTTTTCTTTTTCTTTTTTTTCTCCCGGGGAGAGAAACGCGCGTGTCCACTCTCTTCGCCGGGGCAACGTTCCTTCTTTTTCCTCTCCTTCCTCCAAAAGAAACGACATCCAACGACGTTACCTCCGCCGTTTATTAGGTCTCAACGAACGATTAACCCGAAAAAATTGCGAGCTTTCATAGGTGAACAATGCTCGGGCTGATTGGTACTCGCTTTAGAATTAGAACCCGGATTTTGCATTGTGCAACCGGACCAACAGCGAAACAGCTGCACCAGTCGTTTGCTTTCTTCTGGCCTGCATCGGCTCGACATTCCTTTTTTTTCTCTCTCTCTCTTCCTCTCTCACTTCTTTCTCTCCTTTTTTCTCTCCTTTGTTTCTCTCTTCTTTCTCCTCGTTTCGCGCTTCGGCTCAACTTCCACCTGTATTCAACGCTTCCGTCGTGTCTT